TAATAGTATAAAATTGGCCAGCGGCCCAGGGCGGGCCCGACCCGGCCTGTTGACAATGTGAATATTCACATTGACATGTTAACATTCACATTGATAAGAGTATAAAATTGGCCCGCAGCTCATAGAGCGGCCCAAAGCCCGACTGCAGCCCGAGGCGGGCTTGGCCCGACCCGTGACAATGTGAATATTCACATTGATATGTTAACATTAACATTGATAGGAGTGTAAAATTAGCCCGCTGCCCGAAGCTTGCTCGTGGTCCGGGGTAGGCCCGGCCCGTCCAAAGCCCGAATACCCTTGTGTCAGGGCTAGGGCCTGGGCCTAATTTTTTAGCCCGTGGGCCGGGCCGAATTTTTTCGAACACCCACGAGGCTCGATATGGGCCGGTCCAGGCCTCTACGCATTGATGATATGAACATTCACATTGACGATGTGAACATTCACATTATGGGTATTTTGGTAATTATGTCTTCCATAGGACTTATTGAAACATAAGAAAATAATGTGGACTAAATAGAATATAAGTAGATGAAAATGATATTTTGTTCTTCTTACCTCAAATAGGACTTAATGGAATAGTCAAAAAGAACGTAGGCTGCCCGAAACCCGTCCGCGGCTAAGGAAAGGCTCGTTTGGACCTGGGCTCGAGCCTAGTCTTAGACCCTAGGCTAGGGCCTGGGCCATTACTTTGAAGCCCGACCGGGCCCATCGGCCCGATTAGGGCCCATTCAAGGCTCAGTCCGAGGCCCGGCCCGCGCTGAGGCCTAGTGTCTTTTTTTGTGGAAAATAATAAAATTTTGATAGAAAAAATTAAAAAGAATTAAAAAAAATGACGAGGCTCACCCAAGCCCAAGTCTAGGCCGGACCCAAACGAGCCTGCCCCGGGCCGTGAGCAGGCTTCGGGCAGCCCACGGGCCGTGGGCCAATTCTACATTCCTATTAATGTGTATGTTAACATGTGAATGTGAATATTCACATTGTCAACAGGCCAGGCCGGGCCTACCCCGGGCCGCGGCAAGTTTCGGGCAGCAGGCAAATTTTACACTCCTATCAATGTTAATGTTAACATATCAATGTGAATATTTACAATGTCACGAGTCGGGTTGCGGTCGGGCTTCGGGCCGCCTACGGGCTGCGGTCCAATTTTACACTATTATCAATGTGAATGTTAACATGTCAATGTGAATATTCACATTATTAACAGGCTGGGCCGGGCCCGCCTCGGGCCGTGGGCAGGTTTCTAGCAGCCACGGGGTGCGGGCTAATTTTACACTCCTATCAATGTGAATGTTAACATGTCAATGTGAATATTCACATTGTCAACGGGCCAAGCCGGGCTGGGCTCGCCCCGGGCCGCGGGTCAATTTTATACTCTTATCAATGTGAATGTTAACATGTCAATATGAATATTCACATTGTAATGCCCTCAGAATTAACCCATTATATATATATCATTGACATGTGTTATTTAAAGAAAACACTTTAATAATTCATTATAATATCCATCAGAGTCTTACTAAACAAAGCATTACATGTAACATCAAAGTAAATGCCCTACCGGCTTACATCTTTCCAAGCCAACACTTGGACACAAAAGTATGAGTTCTAACTCAAATATAAATAAAGCCCTAGACTTGAGTGTTTACATATACTAACAATGAAAAACAAATAACTAAAAATAGTCTTCAAAATCCAAGTCCTTCCAAGCTAAGTCCTTGGAGGTAGCTTATCCCCTGAACCTGAAAATGATGTTCCCATAAAGGGTGAGCCACAGCCCAGTAGAAATATACTAAACCAAATATAAGAAATGAATAAAGCAATAGCATTCAATAGATGGTTAACCAAGATAATCAATTACTTCATTTTACAGTCTCATAACACTATTGTCTAAGACACGTTTTACTTTCCAACTTTATCAATATGGCTCAGAACCTGGCCAAACTTACAACAGTGAATTATATATATCATATTCACATTCTTCCAATGTCAACAAACAAATGAGACTCAAGCTCAAATCAAAACACTTCATACTTCCAGATTGATACACATTTTAGTGCTGTATCAATAAAAACACTTCTATATAAATAAGCACACATAAAAGTGATGCTAATGGAGTCCATCCCCTATCTCCTCCCAAACAAAATTCGGTTTAGAGGTCCATCCCCTATCTTCCCTTAAACCGTTGAGTACATCCCCTATCTCCTCCCACACAAAACAATGTATGTAAACACATAACATATAACATACGGTCAATACACATAATGTCTGTATTATTTCAGCAGTCAAAATGAATGACTCAACCAATGTGATTAGTTTCGGTTATCCCTAATCCACATGCAGTGTCTACAACAAGCACGGCTATCCTCCACCGATAGCCCAAAACAGTTATTTCTAAACTGAAAATAACTATGTCAACAATTCAATAGACAAATGATTCAAATTATCCAACTACGCCATTAAATCAATGAATTCCCCAATTTCATGAATTAATTATACAAATTAATTTAATAATACAACTAGGATTTTTCCCAAAATTTACCAAAGTATCCCCAACATATCAAAATACCAAAACTTAGAACAAAACCTATAAAATGGAGTAGGAAATCCCTACCTCGAAGAAAACAACCCAAATGGTGAAGACAGAGATGAGTGCCCAAATACCAAAGTGCTCCAAATCGCCAAATGCTCAGATTAAATGAAAGCCCTCGACTCCCTCTATCTTTTTAATAAAGCAACTAGGGTAGAAACACTCTTTAAATAGATCAAACCTAAAAAAGAAGGTGAGTAGGGAGAGAGAGAAGTCGGACATAGGGTTTGGAATAAAAAAAAAAAGGATGAAAAAGACTGATCAAAACCCGCTGCTGCGTATATAAACTGGACAGGCTCGCTCGAGCGAAGACTTGGTCGCTCGAGCGACCAGACACAGAGAAACTACGCTCGAGCCAAGGAAGCCTTGCTCGAGCCAATAACCCAAAAGCTCGCTCGAGCGAAAAAAAACTCGATCAAGCGAAGAACTCAACCCTCAGGTCTGTAACCAGACACATGCTCGAGCGAAGGAACTATCGCTCGAGCGAAGAACGAACTAACTCGCTCGAGCGAAGAAAATCTCGCTCGAGCCAAAAACCTCTGCCCTCAGGTCTACTACAAAACGCAATCCTCGCTCGATCGAGGAAACCCTGGCTCGAGCGACGGACCAAAACAAAGAGCTCGCTCGAGCGAAGAGTCAAAATTCTGGGCAGCAACCCATTGCTACCAAGCTCAACCAACCTGCTACAAACCTGCCCATTGCATCCCCCAACTCAGAAATAGGAAATTAAAGGACGGTAACAATCATATTACAATGACAGGAGCTACGGAACCTAAGTCCGGATACAATAATCATATGGAAAAAGACCGGGGTCGCTATACACATTGTCAATGGGTCGAACTGGGCCCGCCCCGGGCCGCCGGCGGGTTTTGCGTTGCCATGGGACGCGGGTCAATTTTACATTCCTATTAATGTTGATGTTAATATGTCAATGTGAATATTCACATTGTTAACGGGCTGGGCCCGCCCCGGCTCACGGGCGGGTTTCGAGCCGCCCACGGGCCAATTTTACAATCCTACCAATGTGAATTTTAAAATATGAATGTTCACATCATAAAATTGCTAACCGTTCAAAAAATATTTACAAGGGTATCAAAATTAAATATAAGGGCATAAGTGTCCAAGAAAATTGTGTAAATCAAGAAAAATGACTTTATGGAATAAAACTATACATACATAGGATTAAATGGGTTAAAAAATTTCTTCATGGACTTCTTGGGTTAAAACACTTCTAAATGAGATTTATCAATAAAAATCCCCCACCTGATATTTGTTTAAAATATGATTTGTCATATCTGGTTTCGAAAATTATATTTCGCTCCTTAAAATTTTTAATTTTATAATAAATGATAATTTTTATTAATAAATTATTAAACTAATTAATAATTTTTATTATTATGAAAAAACTATTTTAATTAATAATTTATATAAGTTTATTTGTAATTTATCTAATATTTTTTCACTGTACCTTTGAAATAGGATTTTTCCTAAAAATTCGGAGATATTGGAGTCCATGTGGGAGTGGAGAAATTTTTTTGGTTTGTTTGGTTGTATATTTTGGGAGAGTTATTTTTTTGAGAGTTTGGGATGATTTGATATTTTGGGAGAATTTGAGTAGATGTGTATGAGAAAAAAAGTGATTGAGAATGAGAGAGAAGAGAGAAAAAGTGATTGATTGATATGTAAGAGAGAAAAAGTGATTTTGAAATTTTTTTGAGAAAAATTCAAACCAAACAATTTTATAGAAATTTTTTTCTAAAATTCATCTCCCAAATGCAAACCAAACATACCCTATTTATTGTTCTAGGAGCAAATTTAAGTGGTGCTTCAGCAAATTTAAGAGATTTTTTTTTGATTTGTTATTTTAGTTATAAAAAGATAAAATAAATTAAAGTTAATAAAATAAATTATTATATTTAAATTATAATTATTTTATTTTTTTTCTCACAAAAATTAAAAAATCATTCAAAATAAAATTTTTTAATCTCAAATTAAAATAATCAAAAAAAATTAAAAAATTAAAAAATCAACTCACGTCCTAAACAAAACCTAAATAGGATTAGTTGAAACAATAAATCTCAAACAACTGAATATTTGTTTAAGGATTCGTTTCATGGCCTAAAAAGTCTCATTTGGAATAGACTTTTGATTTTTTTAATTTTTATGAAAAAAAAAATTATAATTATAATTATAATTTAATATTTTATTTTATTAAAATTTTAATTTATCTTATTTTTTTAATTAAAATAATCAAAAAGTCAGATTTTCTGACATGTGCGTGTCCCAATATTCTTGGGACAATGAATAATTTCTCGACGAGGGTGGGTCATTCTCATCATTCAACCTGCAAAACACCCCGTGAGTGGCCAGCTTGTTCAGATTGTGACACTTCACTCCATTAATGCCACCTTCTTCAAATCCCCACCAAAAAAAAAACACTCATTTCATTTCCATTATTCAACGATCTCAACTCAAGCACACACGAATCTTCAACTTTTCACACTTGCATAAAACACACAAAGACAGACAAATAACAAACACAAGTGAGAGAAAAGCTCCAACCACCAAAATGCCCAAAACCCATCCGAAACCCATCAACACCCTTCTCACATTACTGCTTTTTGTCCACACTTTCTTCATTATTTGCAATGGGGTTTCAGTTCTGGGCGTCAATTCACTGAAAAACAGTGAATTTGATGTAATGGGGAGAAGGGTTTGTGCCGGAAAGATTGGCGATTGTGCGGTGGAGGAGGCAGAGGGGGAGTTCCAGATGGATTCAGAGAGCAATAGGAGGGTTTTGCTGATTCAGAAGAGGTATATAAGCTATGAGACTCTGAAGAGGGACTCAGTTCCATGTACAAAACCTGGTGCATCATATTACAACTGCAAAGGAGAGGCAAACCCATATCACAGAGGTTGTGAGGTCATCACAGGCTGTGCTAGAAGCATTAGTGACATCAAATCTTGATCAGAAAGTGGCACCAAGAAGTGATAATGGTAAGTTGTGTCTGTATATACAAGACTATTGTGTCCTTTTGATGCATTAAAGAATGTCCTTTTGATACATTTAGGAATCTATGTATACCTTGATTTTGGGGATCAATGAAGGGTTTTCATTCAAGCACATGAAATATTTGATATGATGCCTAATTGGGTTTTGAGAATGATTTTTGAGACTCTGCACCAGTTTCTGAATCTTATATACAGTATAACATATGGTTTTCCTTTACTTGAATGTATTGAGGATAAACCTTTGAATTACCACTTTACAGTTGTTTGATTTTGTTATTGAAACCGCCACACATCTTTCAAAAGTAGCCTTTCAGAATTGACAAATTAGTCTGCAAAACGTTAGAACTCAGATTGTTTTGGGCAAAACTATTCTTGTCCTGGAAGGGGGAAAAGTGGTTAATATTGGAAAGAAGATTTGTATTGACTTAGAAAGTAAGGAATTAGTGGTGCAATTCTTTTTAGAAAACCCAAATAAATAAATACTGTGCCGCCTTTCCAGCTGTGAAAACACTCAGTTGCCTCACAAACAATAATGATTTCTTCAAAATGTACACTCCAGGTTCTCAAAACATATCTCTTGGATTGAGCTCTCACCTCCTTTGTCAAATGAACAACTGCATCTTTGTCTTTTTGTTTGGAATGAAAACCAGTACCACTGTTCCCATGGGGTTCCTTTCCTTTTTGTTTTCAAATAAATAAATATGCAAATTAAACACCCCATTAACATACAATGACTGTTTAGCACTGATTCTAGTAGTCACCAAAGAGTTGAGTAGTGTTTTTGTGTTTTATGAGGTGTAATAGTTTGATTTTCTGGTTTGAACTATATATGCTTCTAAATTAGATCTTATTTTCTTTGTGGTATTCTAAGAAACAAGGACACTTCTAAAAAGGTGGTGTGTTCGTGTTGGACACCGATACTCATTGGGGAAACTTTTTGATATTCTTTAGACACTTCCGGATCTGTGTGAGGCATACATCCAAGTACGTCTATTATTTAAAAATAAAAATAAAAATAAAATTAGACTCGAGACTCATTTGGGATACTTGGGAGACACATGTAAAATCCATTGCTTATACGAAACACATTACAAATTTGAACAAATTTACTTAGGATCTAATGATAAAAGAAAATTTCTATATACCTATATTAATTTGTTATCCTCCTTTAAATTTCAAAATTTTGTGTTGTGTTGTGTTGTGTTGTGTATAACTATGAATGAAATATTCATATATAATATAATAAATATATGGTCTTTATTTTAATCTCCCATTTGATGTGTCTTGCAATTTTTGAAAATTACTATTTCTCGGCGTGTCCATATCGTGTCACATGTTTGTGTTTCTCCTTCTTAGGCGGTGTTTAATAATACATTAAGTTTATTTGATCATGAGGCTTACATCTTTTTTATTTATTTATTTTATAACTCGATATCCGGCCCACTAGATAGACTGATCCGGGGATCAATCCCGTCATCCACTAGCGGAGGGCCTAATTAAAGTAGGGGCAAAGCCCTATATGGACTGGCCCCAAGAAATTGTTTATAACTAGGAAGTTTCATGTTGGGTCATACACTGTACACTGGGCCCTGGGTCCAATAGGGGGTTTTGGGATTTGGTTACTTTGGTAATTTCTCGTTACTTCCGTGTTGTCCTCATTTCTATGCTTATAAATAGATGAGGGGGTGCCTCTTTTCTAAAGAGAATTGTAATCGTTTTCTGATCATAGTAAAATCTACATCAGTTGTGGACGGAGCCCTATTATGGGGTGAATTACGTAAATCCTTATGTTTTTGTGTGTGTGATTTCTTTGATTCGTTTTATCTTTTTTGTTTGCTATTTTGTGTCTCACCGATCTTAGTTAGGACGAGTCGATTTCCTAATATTTTGAACCTAAGAGGTTGGAGGGAGCACACCCTAAGCCCCAAATCTTGACCACCAGGCCAACCCCTTGGGGTTATGATGCTTGCATCTAATCATGCAACCATACTGTACACGGAATTTTCATTGATCATAGATCTTTTTCCTTTCTCTTCATTAAGTTAGGGATAAATTATTTCATGAGTGCCAAAATATGATTCTTTCATCAACATGTTGCCTGTTGTGTCCATTCTAGATCAATGTTCAGGTGATTGTTTGTCTGAGTTGTATAGTATGATTAGATGAAAGACGTAGTATAACAACACGAAATTATTCAACATAATGGGTTGAATTCAAGTTGTTTTGATCAGTTACTTGCTGATCAAATTCCAACAGTTAGGATCAGTTTATCTTTTGTCAGTCATTGCCCATCAAATTGTTACTTGGTTAGGATATTTGTAAGTAAGAAGTGTAGGACTGTTTGATTTTGTGCTCTACTTTTCAGTTTTATTTTATTCTTGTCCAATGGTAGCTCGTTTACAATTTCCTGTTCTCAAAAAATGTGATCCTTCTTTGTACCTTTTTACTCATCAATATTTCCCTCTAACCTTTAGCTCGACAATCACTCTATTTTCCTTCTTGATTAATTTTTTTTTTCTTGTTTGCTAAAATTTTCACGAATATTGTAATTCATGTGAGAATTGCATCACCCCTTTTTTTTTTAATGGGGAAATTTAGTGCCTTATCATCACAAATGAAGAAGTGGTCTGAAATGGAAACAATTTTTTTTTTTTTTATCTTTACCTACTTCTTGTTAACAATTAAGCATCATTCTCAGAGAGTGACTTGCACCATTAAATCATGGTGTCGATGATTCTATTTTCCATTCAGCAAGATTTTTGTACTTGTAGACAATATGAGTGATATATGTTACAGCAAAAGCATGCCCACATTAATGAGCAAATTATCCACTTTAAATGTGTTAAGCAGATATTTTTTTTGGGTAAGTATGTTAAGCAGATATTACTCAATCAACTTGTTTAGAGTATCCTTAGCTTGTATTTGTGGTTAAAATTTGTCACTACTTTAGTGCCAATCTCAACTAGTTTTAGGGGCTAATGCCAATTGACTACCGAGTTAATACACATGAGCTCAAGGTGAGAGTCTTGACAAATTTTATTTTTGTAATTGTGGCCTATCATATATGCTAAATACCTTTAGACCATGTTTGTTTGGGTGGACATGAGTTTGGTATTAGACTAATAGTCCAATAAAATTATTAATCCAATGTTTGGTTAAATAATTGAAGTACGGATTAACAATCCATCCGGATATGGTATTCCACATATTATGGACTATTCAATCTCACAGAGGGGGTGGGATATAAATTGGAGGACTAAGCCAAAGTCTGGGACTATTAGTCCTTCCTTATAATCCTACCTCAATCCAAACATAGGATAGGATACACAATCCAAAGGGATTCGTAATCCTAGGATTATTAGTCATGGGAATGCTAATCCAACCTAATCCAGTCCGTCCAAATAAACATGGCCTTAAGGTACCAATCTAAGATGTGCTAGTGAATTTCCAACAGTAGGACGAGGGAACCATATTGAAATTTATGATGCACAGTTTCTATAACACAACAAACCATAACCTGTTTGACATTCACATTTTTTAGTTTTACTTTGGATCTTTCTTTTCATGGTTTTTTGTGGCATTCTATGTTTTATTGATCTGCAAAATTAGTTCAGACAAGAAAAGAGAGTTTGCACTTGAGGAAGTACTCTTCAGTTTGGTAAATTGAGGTTTCTAAAACCTTATGTTTCCGCGTTCAATTTGCTGATTGTGCATATCCATTCCTGTTTGGTTCCGATGCTTGTTTTATTTATTTATAAAATTTCTTGTGTGGAGATCACGGAGAGTTCTTCGCGTATTTTAGGCGAAGGAAGAGACAACTAGAAGTTTGGTTTAGTTTGAGTTTTATTTCTTTAGGAGTTTATTTTTGTTTCCATTTCTCTGGATATATATTTTTTGAGTTTAGGTGTATTACATTTTTTTAGGGTTTTTGCTTTATCAAATTTTTAGTCATGGAAACTTCACATTTTGAATTGAACAAGAATTTAACATTCCTTTCTTCTCCCTCTTTTTTATCGCTCAGTTCACTTCGACGCCACCACATGTCCATATTGAGTTTATATATGTATATATATATCACACAAACAAAGAATATAGATTATATATAGTTTACAGCCCTGGCCAAGTTATGTGCTGGTTTAATTACAGAACGATCAACTTTAGAGATAATAAGAAGCTTATAAAACTTCGCCATACACCTAATATCTGATATAATGGAGAAAGCATTCCAATCTGCTTCAGATTTGCCTTGCAAAACGCTCACCAGAACCTGACAATCTGTGAAGGTGGAAATACAGTTCCTACCCTTGTCTTGTGTGCCCAGCTTAGGGCTTCCAAGCAGACCTTTGCTTCAGCCAGGAAAGGAGATGGCAGATGACTATGGCATGCACCTTGCCCAATCTGATCCTGTGCTTCATTATAGCATATCCATGCGCTTCAAGCTGATCCTCCAGTTGCACGTGAAGATAGTAAGATCCATCAATAAGCACTGTCCACACCTGAAATATGTCAGCAAAAGGTAGAGTTTATAAGCTCATATGATTGATAATCCTTAGGCTCAGTATGTGCTACATGCGAAGTTGGTTGTTTTGTCTGATTAGATCCTGATCCCAAGTCCACTAATGAACTGGTTGAAACAATAGTGGAAAAGTCCTGTGCTAAAGAAATGGCCAATGGAATGGTCATCTTGTTGGAATCAAAAGACGCACTATTGCGATGCCTCCATATGGACCATAACAAGGCAATAGAATGGAGGATAACCGAGTCGTCTTGAACCATCTCAATCCATGACTCCAGCCATTGCAAGAATCCAATTGGCCTACCCCTAGAAAAATCCCGGCTTAGTGAACAACCCCTCCAAATCCGCTGAGAAGCAGGACATTCAGAAAACAGTGTTCAATTGTCTCTTCACTTGAACAACAAGAAGTGCAAGTTACATTCATACTAATACCCCTTTTTAACAAGTTCCATTTAACAGGAAGGATACTGTGCAGGCACTTCCGTAGGAACACAGGCCATTTGGAAGGGATCTGATTGTTTCTTTTCATGGTTTTCATGTCTGAGCTTGCACTGTACTGTAACCATTGGCAATAGAAGTTGGGATGCTACTAGTGTTTGTCCAGTAACTGCAACCATAAGTCTCCAAGCCTCAGCTCAAAAAACACTCTCTATATACTCTGCTTGTTTCAGCAGAAATTATTATTTTTTCTATGCCTTTAC